ACACACACACACACACACACACAGAGACCCCCCCTCCCACACAGAGACCCCCGCCAGGACCGGTGGAATTTTACAGGCCGAGGGGCCACCAGAGTTTAGTCTCGACGTTTTCGCTGCCGTTTGACGTGAAGCCTCTGCAGCACGGAGACTTCCGGCTCAGGCTGCGACAACTCTTGTTGCACTTTTGTCGCTCAATTTGACTTTTTGTTGTTGTTTTTTTTCCTGCGCATGCAGAGAATGAATGAATACATTTATTTCAGTTTTGTCAGCGGCAAAGGTCTATAAAAGTACTAGAAAAATAAATAAGTAAGTAAAGTAAAAATACCTTAACAGAAAAAGACTTTGGCAAAAAAAAAAAATATCACTGATGAGAAAACTATTTAAGTAAAAGTCATAAAACTGTTCACAAAATTGGGAAAGTAGAAGTAAAAGTACTTTTCCACGCTCTCTAACAAATAAACTGTTAAATTAGAGCTGGGCGGTATGACCCAAATGTTATATCACGGTATTTTCAACAATTACACCAGTTTCACGATAATTGACGGTATTTTTTTCCTCACAGCTCAGCTGATAAAAAAATGTACAAACTTTGCTTATTGACTTTTATGTTTTTGTACGTCTGTATCACTGTTTCCCTCCTCTTAAGAATTACTCACTTGAGAAATACTCACGTCTTTTCTTCTTTGCCTGGTTGTAGACACTATTCATGCATTTAGGTCCGATCGTGAAGGGTTGAGAAAAAAATCATTATCTGGTCTATTGTTGTGTGCTAATAAAACTTAAAAGGATGACTCACTTTGCACACCAGTCAACTTCGCTACATTACAAATCTACTTCTACCCGGGCTTTTCACAATAGAAGCACGCTAGAGTCTCCATGCAATAACATCTCTGTTATAACGTAGCGCGTTAAATCTAACTGTGCACGACACTGAGGAGTTGTTTACTATTCAGCGATGGTGAAAACGGGTTTTATTTTCTACGTCAGACCATATAAGTGGCTGAAACACACCATCCACCGCCAGTTGTTCCAACAGTAACGTTAGCATGCTAATGTGCTTAGCAGTGCTGCGTGGAAACATGTCCCCAGGGAAACAGTTCACTGGCGGCCGCGACGAAACGTTCCGCACATTCAGGATATTTACACCGGTATTCAGAAAAGTCATGTAACAAAAATATATAACAGTTTTCGGTACAAAACGGTATACCGCCCAGCACTGTTAAATTTATGATTTTTTATGATTTATTTGTTCGGGACAGTGTGCAATAAAAACATATTTGATGCATTGCACCAGATTTAGCCTAAGGCTAATTTACATCTGTAGTCCCATCAAACAATAAAAACAAAACAACATCCAACAGTAAAATAAGAAAGAGAGGAAAAAAACACAAAAATAAAAAAATAAAATAAAACATTTTGCAATTAAAAAA